AACAAGCTTGAATATGATTCACCAATAGGGGTGAACTGATTCTTTATGAAAGGCTCTCCTAGGCGATGATTGTATTAGGGAACATTTGGTTGAGGATTATATGGAGCTTGGTAAGGATGGGCATTTCTGGGAGGTGGAGCTCGGTATTGTGGATAATATTGTGGCCGCGTGTAAGGTTGCGTGTTCATCACCGCATAGGGAGGCGGTGCCACGACATAAGCATCATCTTGAAGGAGATAATAGTGTGGTGGGACCATAGGAGGCACATATGATTGGCTGAATGATCTGCGGACCCCCCTCGAGCTTGAAGCCATCATGGCTCTCTCCTCACTTCCATTGTTGTTCATCAAACCCTCTGAACCATTCTGAGCAGCCTGTGATGTGGCCTTAAAAGCAGCATGACTAAGATTCGACCTTTTTTTAAACCGTTTTCAACCTTTTCCCCAATTTTGATAGCCTCAGCGAACGGCTTACCCATAGCGGACATCATGTTCTGGAAGTAGTCCGCCTCTTGGGCCTGTATAAAGACCGTGACCATTTCAATTTCGTCCATTGGAGGCTTTACCCTGGCAACTTGCTCATGCCATTTGACAGCATATTCGCGGAAACTTTCTGCGGTTTTCTTTTTCAAATTGGACAAAGAGTTTCTGTCTGGAGCGATGTCCATATTATATTGGAAGTGGCGGATAAAATCTCAAGCCATATCGTCCCACACATGCCAATGGGTAATTTCTTGATCTGTATACCACTCAAAAGCGATTCCGGAGAGGCTTTCCCCAAAATAGGCCACTAACAACTCCTCTTTTCCACCAGCACCCCTTAGCTGGTTACAATATCGTTTCAAATGAGCGACCGGGTCTCCGTGCCCGTCGTAATTTTCAAATTTTGGCATCTTGAAGCCAGCTGGCAAGTGGACATGGGGAAACATACAGAGGTCGGAGTATGAGACACTCTTTTGGCCACTCAGGCCTTGCATGTTTTTCAGGATTTGTTCCAGGCTCTTCATCTTTCGAGCCATTTCCTCTTGCTCAGGATTTTTAACAACCTTTTTTTGCTCCATCGAGAGATCATATTGCGGAGGTTGAGTGAAAGAGTATGGGGTCACATATGCTATTTCTGACTAAAGTTGTGGACCCTGAAAAGTGAACATTGGAGGCTCAACATACGCCCGTGGTAAAGTTGGTTATGCTCTAGTGCAGACTGGTGCTGTAGAGAACAATATTGGAGATGCCCAGGAAAATGGCGCCTGGGGGCGAACCAAAGAAGGCATTCCAGGAACATTGGACAGCATTGGAAGGTGCCCGCATGGGATGAGCGGGTTGGGCACAGGGGCGTTGGTAACCTCACCTGACCTGGGGATCAACTCAGGGAATCTAGGGATTGCACTTGGCGGTTCCCTACCGTTAGACCAGGCGTCCCACATTTCCAATATGCGGAGACACAACATCCTATTCTCTTCAGCAGCTGCTGATTCTAGCTACAGAATAGCCGATGCCGGGCTATCCTCAGGACTGATGATTGGTAGATTGCTTGCGGAGGCCATCTGTGCTTTTGGATCTTGTGAAGGAGGGGAGGCTAGACTACCAACAAAACCAACCACCATGACCTGGCTAGTTTGCACACCCAACAACCTTGTTAGTTTTGAGACGCTTAACAGATAGGAAATCGCACGTTTGGATGCAATGCACCTAAACAGTTAAACGTTTCTACCATGTGTTTGAACGGTTGCATGTTTCATCCCGGCCTTAATTAACCCTTTTCACTCTGTACCTCTTTTCTTTTATTTCTGCCTCTCTTTAATCACTCTTGATTTTTTTTTATTTCGTTTCTGTCGCTCTTTTATTTTTTGGCACTCTTTTTTTTTGTCGCTCTTTTCTTTCTTTTTCACTCAATTTTTCTTTCTCTATTTTTATTCAAATTTTTTTTTTCACTCAGTTGATTTTATGGCTATGATCGAATCCGATGAGGATTGCTTACGTATCATGATGCCGCATGAATCAGATCTTGCGTAGTTCGGGAAGATCAGGAACAAGGTAAATGAGCTAACACGTCTTTTTTTTGTTTGTTTACTTTTTATAAAATTCAGACCATGAAAGCTTTAAGAAAAAGAAAAACATTCTTTTTGAAAAAAAAAATTGGTTGTTTTTTTTTTTCTTTTTGGAATTTTCGAAAAAAATGCTTTAAAAGAAGAAGGAAATATTTTTTTGGAAATTTGATTTTGATTTTTCTTTTATTTTTTGAAAGAAAGACTTCTAAAAATTCCTTTTCTTTTGATTTGAACTTTGGGAGTTTCAAAAGTAAAAGGAAAATATTTTTGTTTGAATTTTCATTTGTTTTCTCTTTTTCTAAAGAAGAAAGGAAATATTTTTGGATTTTGGATGTTGCCTCTTAATTTTTGACAGAGGGACCTTTCAAGAAAATATTTTGGATTTCTGAGTTTCTATTTATTTACAAAAGCACTTCTAAAGAAAAACGAAAATATTTTTGGACTTCAATTTTTCAATTTTTTTTTTGACATTTATGAAAGAAAGACTTTTAAACAAGGAAAAGAATTTATTTTCGAATTTTTTTTTGGATTTTGAGAAAAATACTTCAAAATAAAGGAAACCCGTAATTTATATTTTGATTTTTTATTGATTTTTCTTTTATTTATTTATTTTTCCGTATGAAAGACTTCAGAAAGAAGGAAACTTTTTTTTTTTTGAATTTAAAAATCTTTTTTTTTCAAATTTTCTAAGAAAATGCTTCTAAAGAAGGAATTAAAGGAAAGTATTTTTGGAGTTTTTAAAAATTGAGGCCGGAACCGATGAGGTTTGCCTACGTATCTCACATCCGGTGAGAATCAGACCCGCGTAGTTCGGTCAGTTTTGACGGAACAGGAAAGTATGAATTATTTTGAAATGACCTTTTCTTTTTCTACTTTTTTTTCAAAAATCCGGCAGAGTTTCGGGATATTTCAAATACCTACCTCTCACTCTTCTTTTTCTTTGTTTTTCTCTCCTTTTTTCCTTTTTTTTTATTTTCTTTTCCTATTCTAGAAGCCGGTCAACAAGCAAGCAGAAACAAACTCTCACGACCCGGATTTCCCATCCTCGGGAGTCGTGATGGCGCCTACTCGTGAAAGCTAGGCAAGCCGAGTATTATAGATTCATTAACATTTTTGCTTAGCCTTTTTAACAGTTCAATATAACAGTTGATCTAGAGAGAAATAATTATAATAAACAGAAATGCGGAAGACGAAGACTAATAGTTTAGCCATATACTAGTGCAGAATCCAACATACAACTCTACCCAGAATTTGGTGTCACAATGTCACGGACTATCTATGAATACTACAAACAGTGGTCCGAAAGATAAATACAAAGTTGTCTCTGAAATACATAAAAGAAACAGAATGGAAAGATAGAAGAAGACGCCAGGGCCTGCGGACGCCTGCAAGACTACCTCGGGTCTCCGCCAGTGGACTGAAGGCAGCAACCTCACTGTGGTCCAAAAGCTATAGCACCGGGATCTGCACACAGTGCAGAGTGTAGTATCAGCACAACCGACCCCATGTGCTGGTAAGTGTCTAGCCTAACCTCGGCGAAGTAGTGACGAGGCTAGGACAAGACTACCAAATAAACCTCTGTAGTTATATCATATACAACAAATAATAACGACAGAAATAAGCAATTAAAGACGGGGAGGGGGAACATGCTGTGGGGAATATCAAGTACCAACAGAATCTCAGGAGAAAAACATAAAGAACATCTTAAATTTCATGCCAGCCAGAATAAGGAATCAGTAATGAATCTATAACCACTTTTGTCCTTTATTGTTGCGGCGCGCAACCCGATCCAAATCATATATCACTGTTGCGGCGTGCAACCCGATCCAAATCATATATCACTGTTGCGGCGTGCAACCCGATCCAAATCATATATCACTGTTGCGGCGTGCAACCCGATCCAAATCATATATCACTGTTGCGGCGTGCAACCCGACCCCTCATGTCCTCTATTATTACTCCTTGTTGCGGCGTGCAACCCGATCCCATATATTATTGTTGCGGCGAGCAACCCGATCCAAATATACAAATCAACACTAATCACAAAAGAATCCCGGCAAGCAATATCCCGGTAAGGGAACCAACAACAAGAATAAACACATTCCGGCAATGGAAATAACAGTAAGAATCAAAATATGTCCCGGCAAGGGAATCAGCTATAACCAAACCTATGCCAACAATTAACTTCACAAATGAAACCTCAACTGGAGCCAATGCTCTACAATGTCCAATTACCAAGAATACTTCCATAACGGAGTCACAGCATTCATGTATAAGACTCACGGGCATGCTTGACACCAACGTATAGGTACTCGTCGCCACACCTATACGTCGTACTCATCAATTAACACATAGCAAATAAGACCACGACTCCCATTTCTTCAAGCTGAGGTTAGACCAAATACTTACCTCAATGCCACAAACACAATCAAGCCTCTACTACCGCTTTACCCATCGATTCCACCACCAATTCGCTTGTATCTAGCCACAATATACTTAACGATATCAATAAATGCTAAATGAATCAATTATAATGCATGAAAATAGATTTTCTAATGATTTCCCCAAAAATCAAAAATTGACCCCGGGCCCACATGGTCAAAACCCGAGGTTCGAACTAGAACCCGTTACCCATTCACCCACGAACTCAAATATATAATTTGTTTTGAAATCGGACCTCAAATCGAGGTCCAAATCCCCAAAATTTGAAAATCCTAAGTTCTACCCAAAAATCCCAATTTCCCCCATGAAAATCCTTGATTTTGAATTGAAATCGTGTGAAAGATGTTATGGATTGAAGAAAACGAGTTAGAAACGACTTACAATTGATTTGGAGAATAACTTTTCTTTGGAAAATCGCCCAAGAGAGCTTAGGATTGGAGAGAGTTTGAAAAATGAAGAAAAATTCATCTAAGTTTGATTTTACACAGGCGCAGATATCGCATTTGCGATGTCATGTTCGCAAATGCAAGCTTGCAATTACAGCCAAAGCTTCGCAATTGCGAAGGAAGGCCTGCCTCTGCTTTCTTCGCAAATGCGAACAATTGTTCGCAATTACGGTGCCTGCTAAGGTCGCATTTGCGACATGAGCCTCGCAAATGCGAAGGTCTCCCTCTCCCAGCCCATCATTGCAATTGCGATGTTTCTTCGCAAATGCGAGCTCGCATTTGCGAGCCAGGCTTTGCAATTGCGAAGCCTGCAGACCTGCAACACAACAGCGATTTTCCTAAGTCCAATTTCACTCCGTGGCCTATCAAAAACTCACCCGAGCCCTCGGGGCTCCAAACCAAACATGCACGCAAGTCTAAAAACATCATACGGACTTGCTCATGCGATCAAATCATCAAAATAACATCAGTAACTATGAATTAAACCTCAAATTCATGAAATCACTCAAGAACATCAAAATTTCCAATTTCTCAAATAAAGGTCCGATTTATACTAAACGAACTCCGATTCTTACCAAACTTCATAGATTCAACTTAATTATTATATAAGACCTGTACCGGGCTCCGGAACCAAAATACGGGCCCGATACCATCAATTCTAACACATTTAAGTTTCCAAAAACTCTTAAAATTTTAGTTAAACAATTTTCTTCAAAAATTCATTCTCGGGCTCGGGACCTCGGAATTCAATTCCGGGCATACGCCCAAGTCCTATATTTTTCTACGGACCCTCCGGGACCGTCAAATCATGGGTCCAGATAGGTTTACCCAAAATGTTGACCGAAGTCAACTTAAATTCAATTTTAAAGGCCAAATTAGCATTTTTATCAAATTTTCACATAAAAGCGTTTCGGATATACGCCTGGACCGCCCACGCAAATCGAGGTGAGATAAAAGGAGGCTTTTAAGGCCTCGGAACACAGAATTAACTTGTAAATCAAGTTGACCTTTAGGGTCATCACATCCTCCACCTCTAAAACAACCGTTCGTACGCACATAGAAAAGAAGTACCTGAGTCGGGGAAAAGATGGGGATATCGGCTCCGCATATCGGACTCGGACTCCCAGGTAGTTGCCTTGGCAGGCTGACCTCTCCACTGAACAAGAACTGAAGGGAACTTCTTCGATCTCAACTGACGGACCTGTCGGTTTAGAATAGCTACCGGCTCCTCCTCATAGGTCAAGTACTTGTCCAAATGGACAGTGCTGAAGTCCAACACGTGAGATGGATCGTCGTGATACTTCCGAAGCATGGACACATGAAATACTGGATGCACGGCTGATAAACTCAGCGGCAACGCAAGTCTGTAAGCCACCTCTCCCACTCGATCAAGAATCTCAAACGCCCAATGAATCTAGGGCTTAGCTTGCCCTTCTTCCCAAATTTCATCACGCCCTTCATGGGCGACACCCGGAGCAACACTCGCTCTCCGACCATGAATTCCACATCACGAACCTTGCGGTCGGCATAACTCTTCTGCCTAGACTAAGCTGAATGAACCCTATCCTGAATGATCTTCACCTTATCCAAGGCATCCTGAACTAAATCTGTACCGAACAACCGAGCCTCTCCCGGCTCAAACCACCCAATCGGCGACCGACACCGCCTACCATATAATGCCTCATAGAGGGCCATCTAAATGCTAGACTGGTAGCTGTTGTTGTAGGCAAACTCTGCTAATGGCAAGAACTGGTCCCAAGAACCTCCAAAATCTGAATAGTACGCTCGGACTGGCCGTCTGTCTGAGGATGAAGTGATGTGCTCAACTCGACCCGAGTACCCAATTCACGCTGAACTTCCCTCCAGAAATGTGAGGTAATCTGCGTACCCCGGTCAGAAAGGATAGACACGGGCACGCCATGAAGACGACAATCTCCCCGATATAGATCTCAACCAACCGCTCCGAGGAATAGGAAACTGCCTCAGGAATGAAATGCGCTGACTTGGTCAGCCTATCAACAATAACCCATACTGCATCGAACTTCCTCTGAGTCTGTGGGAGTCCAACAACGAAGTCCATAGTGATACGCTCCCACTTCCACTCAGGAATCTCACTCTTCTGGAACAAACCACCAGGTCTCTGATGCTCGTACTTTACCTGCTGATAATTCAAACACCGAGCTACATAGGCAACAATGTCCTTCTTCATCCTTCTCCACCAATAATGCTGCCGCAAATCCTGATACATCTTAGCGGCGCCCGGATGAATAGAATTTCGGGAACTGTGGGCCTCCTCTAGAATCAACTCACGAAGTCCATCCACATTAGGCACACAAATACGACCATGCATCCTCAAAACTCCATCATCTCCAACTGTAACCTGCTTGGCACCCCCGTGCCGCACTGTGTCTCTAAGGACACACAAATGAGGATCATCATACTGTCGATCTCTGATACGCTCAAATAATGAGGAACGAGCGACTGTGCAAGCTAACACGCGACTGGGCTCAGAAACATTCAACCTCACGAACTGATTGGCCAAAGCCTGAACATCCAAAGCAAGCGGTCTCTCACCGACCGGAATATACACAAGACTGCCCATACTGGCTGGCTTTCTACTCAAAGCATCGGCCACCACATTGGCCTTCCCCGGATGATATAAGATGGTGATATCATAGTCTTTCAACAGCTCCAACCACCTCCTCTGCCTCAAATTTAGCTCCTTCTGCTCGAACAAGTACTGTAGACTCTTGTGATCCGTGAACACCTCACATGACACGCCATACAAATAGTGCCTCCAAATCTTCAGCGCGTGAACAATGGCTGCTAGCTCCAAATCATGAACTGGATAATTTTTCTCATGAATCTTCAACTGTCGCTAAGCATAAGCAATGACCTTGCCATCCTGCATCAACACCGCACCAAGTCCAATACGAGATGCGTCACAAGACACTGTATATGGCCCTGAACCTGTGGACAAAACCAACACTGGTGTCGTAGTCAAAGCTGTCTTGAGCTTCTGAAAGCTCGCCTTACACTCGTCCGACCACCTGAACTGAGCACCCTTCTCGGTCAACCTGGTCATCGGGGCTGCAATAGATGAAAACCCCTCCACAAACCGACGGTAGTAGCCTGCCAAACCCAAGAAACTCCAGATCTCTGTAGCTGATGCGGGTCGAGGCCAGTTCTTGACTGCCTCTATCTTCTTCGGATCCACCTGAGTACCCTCTGCTGATACAACGTGGCCCAAGAATGCAACGGAACTCAACCAGAACTCACACTTCGAAAACTTAGCATACAACTGACTATCTCTCAAAGTCTGAAGAACAACTCTCAGATGCTGTTCATGCTCCTCCCGGCTGCGGGAATAGATCAAAATATCATCAATGAAGACTATCGTGAAGGAATCCAAATAAGGCCTGAATACTCGGTTCATCAAATCCATGAAAGCTGCTGGGGCATTTGTCAATCCGAATGACATCACCAAGAACTCATAATGCCCGTACCGAGTGCGGAAAGCTGTCTTAGGGACATCGGATGCCCTAATCCTCAACTGATGGTAGCCAGATCTCAAGTCGATCTTAGAAAATACTTGGGCACCCTGAAGCTGGTAAAACAAATCATCAATCTTCGGCAATGGGTACTTATTCTTGATTGTGACCTTGTTCAATTGCTGGTAATCTATACACATCCTCATCGATCCGTCCTTCTTCTTAACAAACAACACCGGCGCACCCCAAGGAGAGACACTAGGCCTAATAAAGCCCTTATCAAGCAAGTCTTGTAGCTGCTCCTTCAATTCTTTCAACTCAGGCGGGGCCATACGATACGGCAGAATAGAAATGGGCTGAGTTCCCGGAGCCAAATCAATGCAGAAGTCAATATCCCTGTCGGGTGGCATACCCGGTAGGTCTGAAGGAAATACCTCAGGAAACTCACGAACCACTAGCACAGAATCTATAGGAGGGACCTCGGCACTAGAATCACGAACATACGCCAAATAGGCAAAACATCCCTTATCAACCATACGCCGAGCCTTCATATATAAGATAACCCTACAGCTATAATGACTATGAGTCCCTCTCCACTCTAAACAAGGTAAACCCGGCAAGGCTAAGGTCACAGTCTTGGCATGACAATCCAAGATAGCGTGGTAAGGTGATAACCAGTCCATCCCCAATATGACATCAAAATCAACCATATCCAAAAGTAACAAATCTACTCGAGTCTCAAGACCCCCAATCAAAACTATATAGGAATGATGGACATGATCTACCATAATAGAATCACCCACCAGTGTAGACACATATACGGGAGCACTCAAGGAATCACTAGGCATGACCAGACATGGTGCAAAATAAGATGACACATAGGAGTATGTAGATCCTGGATCAAATAGAAATGAAGCATCCCTACTACAAACCAGAACAGTACCTGTGATAACTGCATCGGAGGCCTTCACCTCAGGTCTGCCTGGCAGAGCATAACATCGGGGCTAGGCCTTACCACTCTGAGCTATGTCTCTGGAACGACCTCCTGCTAGCTGGCCTCCACCTCTAGCGGCCTGACCTCCACCTCTAATACCTCTACCTCCACCTCTAGCACCTCTACCCCCACCCCTAGCTGGCTGAGCGGGCGGTGGAACAGCTGGTGCCTGAACCATGGCACGGGAACCCTACTGCTGCGACTGAACACCCACTAATCTCGGATAAGATCTTCGAATATGACCATACTCACCGCACTCGAAGCATCCACCTGAGTGCTGCGGCTGAGGAAACTGAGACTGACCCTGGCAAGCCGGCTGACCATGAGAATAGCTCTGAAGAGAAGGTGCTCTGATAGGAGCCGATGGTGCACAGTAGGACTGCTGATCAGAATACTGCATATGAGAACCACGGCCACCTGGAGCACCATGAGAAGTCTGAAGTGATGAATTAAACGGCCTGGGGGGATGGCCCCTACCAAAAGAATCCCTGCCTCCAGAGGAGGCACCACTGAATCTGCCTGAATGACGGGGCCTCTTGTCAGACCCCTGACCACTCCCCTGCGATAGAACCATCTCCACTCTCCTGGCCATATTGGCCGCATCCTGGAAAGAAATCTCGCTCCCAGTCTCCTTAGCCATCTGCAATCGAATCGGCTGAGCGAGACCCTCAATGAACTTCCTCACCCTCTCTCTCTCTCTCTCTCTCTCTCTCTCTCTCGATGGGAAGTATAATAAGAGCATGACGGGCCAAAGCAATGAATCTGGTCTCGTACTGAGTGATGGTCATAGAACCCTGCTGGATACGCTCAAACTGCCTCTGATAGTCCTCCCTCTGAGTGATAGGAAGAAACTTCTCCAGAAACAGCTGAGAGAACTGATCCCAAGCCAAGGCAGGCGACCCAGCTGGCCTAGCCAAACAATAATCTCTCCACCAAGTCTTGGTGGAACCTGACATGCGAAAAGCAGCAAAGTCGACCCCTTTGGTCTCCACTATCCCCATGTTCCGAAGAACTTCATGACAGCTGTCTATGTAATCCTGGGGATCCTCTAAAGATGTACCACCATAAGTAGTAGTGAACAGCTTGGTGAACCTATCTAACCTCCATAAAGCATCGGCAGACATAGCTGCTCCCTCACCGGTTTGAGTTACCACACCCGGCTGAACTGCTCCAACTGGCCGAGCTGCTGGAGTCTGAAACTGGGGAGCCATCTGCTCCGGAGTGCGGGTAGCGGGAGTCTGTGCTCCTCCCCTATACTGAGAGATGGCTGGTGCTACAGGAAGTAAGACTGCCCGAGTGACACTCTCCATAAGGCCCACTAGACGGACCAAAGCATCCTGGAGTACTGGGGTGGCAATGAACCCCTCTGGGACCTGAACTGGGCCCACCGCAACTGTATGGGCCGGAACCTCATCCTCAAACTCAACCCGAGGCTCCGCCGCTGGTGCTGCTGCTCTGGGCTGAGCTTTGCCCCTGCCTCGGCCCCTAGCACGGCCTCGACCTTATCCTCTACCCCTTGTGGGAGCTGCTGCCGGGGGCTCGGGCTGCTGGTCAGCGGATGAAGAAGCGCGTGTTCTCTCCATCTGCGAAAGAACAGAGTAGAAGTTCAACTCGCATTGAGAAACCAAATCGCACGACAGAGAAGAATAGAAGTGAAATTGTTCCTAACTCTATAGCCGCTGGGGGATAAATACAGACGTCTTCGTACCGATCCCTCAGACTCTACTAAGCTTGTCCGTGAATTGTGAGACCTAAGCAACCTAGAGCTCTGATACCAACTTGTCACGACCCGGAGTTTCCACCCTCGGGAGCTGTGATGGTGCCTACTCGTGAAAGCTAGGCAAGCCGAGTATTATAGATTCATTAACCTTTTTGCTTAGCCTTTTTAACTGTTCAATATAACAGGTGATCCACAGCGAAATAATTATAATAAACAGAAATGCGGAGGACGAAGACTAACAGTTTAGCCATATAATAGTGTAGAATCCAACATACAACTCGACCCATAATTTGGTGTCACAATGTCACGGACTATCTACGAATACTACAAATAGTGGCCTGAAAGATAAATACAAAGTTGTCTCTGAAATACATAAAAGAAACAGAATGGAAAGATAGAAGAAGACGCCAGGGCCTGCGGACGCCTGCAGGACTACCTCGGGTCTCCGCCACTGGAGTGAAGGCAGCAACCTCACTGTGGTCCAAAAGCTACAGCATCAGGATCTGCACACAGTGCAGAGTGTAGTATCAGCACAACGGACCCCATGTGCTGGTAAGTGTCTAGCCTAACCTCGGCGAAGTAGTGACGAGGCTAGGACAAGATTACCAAATAAACCTGTGCAGTTATATCATATACAACAAATAACAACGATAGAAATCAACAATTAAAGACGGGGAAGGAGAACATGTTGTGGGGAATATCAAGTACCAACAAAATCTCAGGAGAAAAGCATAAAGAACATCTTAAATTTCACGCTAGCCAGAATAAGGAATCAATAATGAATCTATAACCACTTTTGTTCTTTATTGTTGCCGCGCGTAACCCGATCCAAATCATATATCACTGTTGCGGCGTGCAACCCGATCCAAATCATATATCACTGTTGCGGCGTGCAACCCGACCCCTCCTGTCCTCCATTATTACTCCTTGTTGCAGCGTGCAACTTGATCCCATATATTATTATTGCAGCGTGCAACCCGATCCAAATATACAAATCAACACTAATCACAAAAGAATCCCGACAAGGAACAATAAGGAAACAACAATATCCCGGCAAAGGAACCAACAACAAGAATAAACACATCCCGGAAAGGGAATAAACAGTAAGAATTAAATATGTCCCGGCAAGGGAATCAGCTATAACCAAACCTATGCCAACAATTAACTTCACAAATGAAACCTCAACTGGAGCCAATGCTCTACAATGTCCAATTACCAAGAATACTTCCATAAGCCTTGGTCAACATTAATAACATCATATTAAACATGGATAATACATAACGGAGTCACAGCATTCATAGTATAAGACTCACTGGCATGCTTGAAACCAACGTATAGGTACTCGTCACCACACCTATGTGTCGTACTCATCAAGTAACACATAGCAAATAAGACCACGACTCCTATTCCCTCAAGCTAAGGTTAGACCAAACACTTACCTCAATTCCACGAACATAATCAAGCCTCTACTACCGCTTTACCGCTCGATTCCACCACCAATTCGCTTGTATCTAGCCACAATATACTTAACGATATCAATAAATGCTAAATGAATCAATTCTAATGCATGAAAATAGGTTTTTTAATGATTTCCCCAAAAAGTCAAAAATCGACCCCGGGCCCACATGGTCAAAACCCGAGGTTCGAACCAAAACCCGATTACCATTCACCCACGAACTCAAATATATAATTTGTTTTGAAATCGGACCTCAAATCGAGGTTCAAATCCCCAAAATTTGAAAATCCTAAGTTCTACCCAGAACACCCAATTTCCCCCATGAAAACCCTTGATTTTGAATTGAAATCATGTGAAAAGCTGTTATGGATTGAAGAAAACGAGTTAGAAACGACTTACAATTGATTTGGAGAATAATTTTTCTTTGGAAAATCGCCTAAGAGAGCTTAGGGTTGGAGAGAGTTTGAAAAATGAAGAAAAATTCGTCCAAGTTTGATTTTACACAGGCGCAGATATCGCATTTGCGATGTCATGTTCGCAAATGCGAACTCGCAATTGTGGCCAAAGCTTCGCAATTGCGAAGGAAGGCCTACCTCTGCTTTCTTCGCAAATGCGAACAACTGTTCTCAATTACGGTGCCTGCTAAGGTCGCATTTGCGACATGAGCCTCGCAAATGCGAAGGTCTCCCTGTCCCAGCCCATCATTGCAATTGCGATGTTTCTTCGCAAATGCGAGCTCGCATTTGCGAGCCAGGCTTCGCAATTGCGAATCCTGGAGACATGCAACATAACAGCAGTTTTCCTAAGTCCAATTTCACTCCGTGGCCTATCCAAAACTCACCCCGAGCCCTCGGGGCTCCAAACTAAACATGCACGCAAGTCTAAAAACATCATACGGACTTGCTCGTGCAATCAAATCATCAAAATAACATCAGTAACTATGAATTAAACCTCAAATTCATGAAATCACTCAAGAACATCAAAATTTCCAATTTCTCAAATAAAGGTCCGATTTATACTAAACGAACTC